GTACTCTAGTGCTATGCGGAGTTCATTCATAGTTCCACTCCAGTCTAGTCATTCATTAATACGGCGGGAGTGTCTTTACGGAGTGTGCGCTGATCGTAGGCTCTTGATCACTCGAGTGACCCGCTTTGAGCTCGGCCGCGTGTGCGTGTCACATATATGTGTGCTCGTCCTATCCTATGGCACGTGAGATCACGGAGTACAAAGTAGTCGACAAGGTGAATTAACATCGAACACGCAGAATGTGGATAGGTAAGAATGACTCACGATCAGACTCGGTTTCAGACGAGCGTTCTAAGAAACAATACCCGTCTCGTCAGAACGAGCATTCAGCAGATACAAAAAGTGGAAATTTAATACGGGAATTTTATTTGTGAAAGTGTCATTGAACGCGATTAAATAACGACACTTCTTTGATCCGTTTATTTTAATGGAGATTCTTTAATATGCATTCGTACTAAAAAGAGACCCTTGTAACGTGATATCGTCCTTAAAAATAGTTAAAAAATAATTAAATAATTTTAAAAAATAATTAAAAAAAGATAATCTAAAGAGATATACCTTAATCCGATGTTGAAACGATACTTATGCGTTCGATAAAAATCATCTAATATAAATAACTTATTCGCAAACTATCATAATTTATAATTATATTTTAATATTATTTATGTTTATAATGAACATTATTGATAAGAAAATTATAATCAATTAAGTCAAAACTTCTTCGTAATGTTCTATTCTTATTTAAATCCTGATACATTGTGCTTCTTTTGCAATAAGCTGAGTTCGAAAGAAATATAAAAATCGCACCCTTTTTCTCTATTAATAGCGGCACTTCAGGAATGGCATTTCTAAAAAAAGGTTTCCGTTTTTAATGATGAACCGATGAATTTCACGGCTCATCTCGTATCAGGGACTGGTGCAAATACACCTGCGGCAAATCGCTCACGCGGTGGTGCTTCGAAGAACGTTCGAAGCATGATAGTGTTATCCCAGCAGAAATCGCGCGATCTTTCGCCGTTCCTTTGTTCCTGTGTTGTCAAAAGAAACGGCGCTTCATCTGACGTTTTTCTGCGACAAGCCGCGGAATGCCATGCTCGAGAAATCGGCCGGCAGCAACTATACGCGAGTGATTTTGCACAAATCGGGCACTACTACCGTAGTACACTAATTTAACGATTTTTTTTTCTTCATAAACTGTCCGTTTCTCCGTCCCGCGCATCGCCTGCAAGGTCAATATATTTCACATAAGTCGATTTCACTTGCATCATATTGCCCAATTAGTAGTAGATAAAACTTGACCAATAATAGAAATAAGTTGACAATTTCGCAACGAAATAAACGGTCTTGCGCTCGGCTCACTTATCGCTGTGAATCATCTTCGTGGCGCTTGTTCCATCTTGACAGCTACTTGTCGACTATCGTTTTTATCGCGATGCAAGTTAATGCGAGTATGATTCCTGATGTTGACGTGGCATTTGGCATTTTTTACATGAGCACGATACAAAGTATAAGTACGAGGTATATATAAGTACGACAAAATATACGTACGCATAAATTTGAATCAACTTATTGATTGACTTTATTTTAATCTTATCACACTGCGAACGGATAAATTAAATCGACACCGACATATCTGTATACACAGGATGTAAGAATTAAATTAAGGTCCCCCCCTGCGTTGATATTGTAATCATTTGCACATCATTTGCTTAGTCTCTTATCAGGATTTTTACAATGTTACGCACTGCTAGTGCTACTGCATAGAAAAAAGAAGATGTCTTAATTATTGTACTCGATCTTTATTTTTAATTACGTTAATTTGTGTGGCCTACACCTCTACTATATATTGTTGTTCATACGATGCAAATTTTTGAAATACATATAACAGAAATACATTTTAGGAAGATAAGAGAGTGAGTTTCATTTTTAATGAAAAAATTTAAAACGATAGAGAGTGGGATACAGTTCCTCGCAATGTTCACTCCTACTTTACTTTTCTTACACACGTTATTTGCGCACATAACTTTGTAATATCTGATGTCGACCAATCGAAATGAACAGTCAACAACGAGACCAAACCAATGAAATCGAGTAGTGTTAAAGATGGCGGGACAGCAAATTATAAAAAAAGGAACTTTAAGTGAATCGAGCCAAGGACCAAATAGCGCAAGAGTAGAAGGCATTTCCGCTCCGCTAACTGGCAAAAACTCGACATTACTATCGATAGTGGGATTAAACTCGGAAACGCACGTTGTGTCGACAGATCGACCAATTTTAAGAGTTAGTCAAGCGTAGCGTGAATTTTCCATTTTCTCCTACTAAGGAGAAATAGAGAAAGAGAACGAGAGAGAGAAAAAGTGAGATAGCGCCGTTTGCTCAGAAAAAGCCTGCAGCTTCGATTGGTGTGTGCATTACATAACAAGAGGGAGGGAGGAGAAACGTTAAAAGTCTGCAATCTACACAGGAACTCAGGAACTCGGGGAAGCCCACTACTATTTTTCCTTGACGCCATCGATTCTTATCGGAAAACTTTATAACGTCAATGCTCAATGCAGTCGTTTTCGATGCGGTTTCGATAAAGCGCGAACACGTAAATGCGGATATTTTAGGTATGTAAATATGCGCGATAAAGATGCATAACAGGATATGGCGTTTACGTATGACAAACACGTATGACAAACATATCAACAGCCTAACAAAATTAAAATTCAGGTTAATAAAATATGTTGGAGTTTAACTATTCATGAATCTATCGCAAAATCGTAAATGCCTTAACAATTGTGAATAATATTTTACGTTTCATCTTTGTTGCATATATACTTCTCCAGTGTGACGCCTTGCATCTTCAAATTTAAATTATACGCTACACATACATGCATGCTAATATATTCCATGACGTACATTCCTTATTTCGCGTACAAAATTATCGTTCTACGTATATATCGTCCTCGAAAAACTTATAATGTTAAAAAAAATAGACCTGTTAAAAATACACCTGTAATTCTCGCTCGCTATAGATATCAACAACGCTACTTGACTTTAACGATTTTGACGCGCATTTCGAAGACTTCACTTTTCGCGTGCAGACATCTTTTCGCCGTGGGACGGATTACCGGTCAATTAACGACGTGACACTATAATTGGCGCGGTAATTCGATCCTCTTATGGTCGGATCCTCCGAGGAAGCTCGCGCGTTTCTGGGCTTCGAGTTAAGCGACCGCGCGCACATCGTTAAATTAAAATCCCGAGGCGTTCACCGGCACCGACGTGGCCCGCGGGCCGCAGCGGGCCATCCCAGCGCTGGCCGTCTAATTTGTAGCGCATAATATTCGAATAATTTGCACGCGTTAATGGAACCGGCCGTGGGTCCCTCATCGGCTACGTCGCACGGAACTACCTTGCAAATATTTGCGTGCAATAAAAGTGATTCGACTCAATAGGTGTCAGACAAAGTCACCGGAAATGGGAACAAACAACCACGAGAATACGGAAAGTTTCGAACGTATTTTATCGAAAGAACTTAATTACAATGATGGAATAAACACCTAGCTCAATATGTAATTATTCTTATTCGATTATCTGATATTATCGAAAAATCTTCTTTTGGCGCCTGGAACGTTGTAGTTCTATTTACGAATACTGGAATTTTTAGAGTTTAAATCGACGAGATCGATATCGATTTATCTAATCGCAGATGTGTCTTATCAATGACGTATCACAGATTCTCTGATTTTCCTACTTTTTTCCCGCAACAGAATTATCGCACATGTCTCGCGTTATCTTCCAAACATACGTTGTTTGCAAACTTTTATAAAATAGTATAGATAGATCCCATTTTTATAACTGTTTAAAATTGTACTTATATTTTGCCATTAATAATTGATAATTAATAATGATATATTCAATATATAACATTATAACAATGCAATATGTTGAACAGAATACGAAATATGCAATAAGCGTTTGAATATAATTATGTGTGTGATATAATTATGTGAAATAATTGATCCAAGGTAAAATCACTTAAAAATATTTCGTACTAAGAAATAGGGATGTAATGTTAAATATAAACACCGACTAACAGACAGACTGCATATTAAGGATTTCAGCAGACGTACATACGTAGCGAGCTTAGTCATCAACGTGTGAAGAATATACATCTTTCCCGTGAACACTGATTTACGAGCCACGTGCCCGACACAGAAACTTACTTTCCCGGTTTTGCGATTAGTTTCCGCATATATTGTTGCGGTTATTTCCCTAAATAACTACATCTTCGTGTCCGATAAACATTTACAATACCTTCGGCAGATTAGAAACAATAGCGTTTAAAACAAGCGACAATGATATTACCGTCTCAAAAGTTTTTATGCATATTGGTTTTACCGCCAAGAATTTCTAGGTAATTCGCATACAATTATTTAATCACTTTGACATTTCAATTGTTAATTTATCCTTTATCTACATGACTAATTGTGACCAATATATTCTACTGAAAAACCCCAGCAATTATTCTTTCCTTGTTCTATTCTCAACGCCTATTATTATTAGTTATTCCGCTCAATTGGAATTAACACTTTTTTTAGAAGATAATTCCTTGAATGTGCAACCACACTCTATTATCATACAGGTTGTATTAATCGCGCGCGTCGCTATCTATCGCAAATACTTATTATATTTCTGTTCGGATCCGCAAAGCGGCCAGCGCGTTTAACGACATTTCGTTCGATTAATGAAATCGACATCGCCCGGGGGTCCAACGTACAGTCCGCCGTACGTCTCCCCACGCGGAGATCGCGCAGCGAGGGTGGCGTGCGCGCAGGTGGGAGGACAGGGAGGACGTACTGGCAGGCTGAGGATTACGGTGGGGCTACGGAAGGGGGCTGGAGGAAGCAGGAGGAATGGAGGTGGGACCGAGTGCCCGGTGAGTGAGCGAGAGTGCGAGAGCGAGAGGACGGAGGTGAATAGTGAGTCCGTGGGCTCGAGTGAGTAACTGGGAGTTGCAACTGGGGGACCCACTCAGTCACCACGAGATCGGCAAGCCGAATGGTCAACCGCGCCGGTGGTTCTTCTGAAAAGTCTGCAACGAATTGAAGGGGGCTCCGACGAAGAGGCTCCAGATCAAGCGCAGATTAGACCCTCGAATGTCAACGGGCGCGATCGTCCACAGTTACGTCGACTCGATCGCGGCGCAGGTGGACGAGCAGTCGCGTCGCGTCCATATCCCGACGGGGAACAAACTGACCGATTGTCAAAATTATCTCGCGGGAACCCCGACGATGTGGAGAGTTCTGGTGCGCTGTTATGTCACTTTGACGTCCACCTGACGCACAGTAACGATACCGGTGTAGAATACGTCCCGCGGTCTGTGGGGCCCCCGGCATCGCGGTTTCGGTATCTCGGGGATTACAATATATCCTCGCGTGACAGTTCGCCCCGGTGGCGGGACGAGACGGTGAACGATAACGGACGACGACGCCGTTTCTTTTATTTTTCTTCGGAGCGACCAGTCGATTCGCGGAAAGATCGCGAGTGCGCAAGTGGATGCGAGCGGAAACTGTCATCCGGAGCAGCCGAGGACTCTCCTGGACGAGGAGGACGAGGAAGAGATGATCTTCGTGCTGCTGGTGGCCGGAGCGTTCGCCCTCGCCACACTAAGGCGGTGTGTGTACATTGCTGAATTCTATTCACTTTCTCTAATGCGTATATGTATACATGTACATATATATATATGTATGTATATGTATATCCCGCTTTCGCACCGAGTCATCTCGCGGAGACGAGGTATTCAGTACGCAAACATTTGTTGCAACAGAAGAAAACGACTCGCGGATATTACACCACGTTTGGCGTGTATCGCTCCACTCGCGGTTTCCCGGCATACATATATTATAACGTTACTTCGCTCCTGGCATTGACGTCTCCGCGGGATCCCATTGCGCTTACCGGAGGATAAGAGTCGCGGTGCATTTCTGTCACGGCTAGTTCGCGGAACTAAATGAAAGAAAACGGTCGTTCGCGTCCGTCTGATCGACGACAAGTTTTACTGAAAGATGTATAATGATGCAATGACACGTGAAGAATTCGCGCAGCGTTTAAGGTACCGTTTCTGTACACGCTGTTCTTTGTCGTTGTCATCGATTGCGCTCAACGGGTCTTGCCCGGGAGACGAACGATTAGAAAAGAAAAAGATAATTGGATCGCGTTTCACAGCAAACGGATAGAACAGTTTAGCGTAAGGGCGTGCCTGTAATTTACGATATTAGTGTATGTTTATTTGAATTTATGACATTTATAGGTTCTTATTTACTTCGTATTTGCACGCTTGCCTATATCTCTAAATAGGCATGTCTTCGCGGTTTTTGTTAAAGAATTGCTTCTTTGCTCACCACGCTTTTTTGCTCTATTCAAACAGGATCATTTCTGTCGCAGAACATCCCGTAAAGAATTAGAAAAAGAACACAAGGCCGACTTCTTGCATCGTAATCACACTTGAACGATAATCGTTAATTACATACTACGTTCGAGTATTTTATTAACATATAAAGTATAATTTCAAGTATTATAATCACGATAAGCATAATCTTGCTTAGAAACAAGACTGTTTAAGTAGCAAGTTAAATTTCATTCATTTAAAAGATATATATCTATCTACTGCGAGCTTGTGTCTCAATTATAATTTCAAATTAGAATCAATTTCATTAATCTATTAAACTTCTTATCAATTTCAACTCCAAATTGAAATTTATGCCATTTTAATATTTTTTCACGATATTAAATGTTGTAACATATTAATACTAAAAAATAAATTAAAAAATTGAATTTTGATATTTAATATTATCTAATATGTATTATATGTAATACGTCTTATCTATGTTATATTATATAATTACATATACAGCAATACTAAATTTTGCATTAATTACTTGTAATAATATGGATAAATTTATTAAGCTTTAAGCCAGCTCTGTCTTGCGATAATAACGCATACGTTTTATCACATAACATTGAAAGATATCTAAAACTGATATCTAAAAGATTTATTGTCTCGTTGTTTACGTAAATAATACAACATTCATGCTATCTATATATTTTGTTTCATTTACAGTCTTAATCCGGACGTTTTTCTTGCAGGAAAATTTTAATTAATTCATATTTTTTGTATTATTTATATTTATATAATTAATAAAAAAATTATTCTTCCACAATTTTTTGTTAAGTGACTTCGTTTTGTAATGTCGATGTTTTCGATTCTACGCGCGCTTAAAAAATTCATGTTTAGCTAATTAATGACTAAGCGGTAAACTGAATCAATGCCTGCGAGATTAGGTTGCTGATGTGTTTATTTGGCTTCAGTCTCGGAGAATTAAAGTAGATATCAATAGCTTAATTCACCTATTAATTCTCTATCGTTAATACGACCTTTATCATTAGTGCTTCATGCCTTTACTAATTAATACCCCTTGATTTGTTTAATTGATTAATTGTGTTATTAGATGAATTTTTATAAGTGTAAAAATAATGCAATATTTTACATATAACACATTTTTCTATACAAAAAGAGAGAGTATATTGTTGATGTAGAACATGGCAAATCACAATTGTTAATGATATAAATTTATGCAAAAACAAAATATTTAACAAATGTATAATAAATTTATTATTTATCTTGGCATACATATATTAGCTGACAAAATCTATTTAGATCTTATGTCATAGTTATTTCGTCTATTACGTATTTTCAATCTTATCTTGGCACGCATGATATTAACCGCAATGATTAATTTATTCAGCAACATCTATTTATTTCTGTTCATTTTCTACGAATTAAAATTCTTTTAACCGCGATAACTGTTGTTCCGCGTCACTGCTACTTTCAAACTTGTCTTACTCATTGCTGGTTATTTAATCCATCATGCTTACTTACATTTTCAAATCGTTATAGATTACTATTTAAATTAATTCGTAATTAATTTTCTACAAATAATTAATTGTTTTTTAATAAGTAAATGAAGTTAAAAGTAGAATTTTTTAAACTCATTGTCCACCGAACAGTGGGTACAAAATAAAATATAAACACAATCTTTTCTTTCTACATCCTAAGTAAATTAAAATCTATTTAAATATTGTAAGAAAATAATTGCAGTAGGGATTAGGAGGCATTGATCTGAACCGTAAATAACAGAACAAATCCGCGACGCTGTATCCTTACACGATAAAACTTTTCCCTCAAAGAGTGATTCTCTAACTTTGGAATGACAAATTTGAATTCGTCACCGAGCCGCCTGTTCTCTCCACCTCCACGTTTTCCACCTCTCTGTGGAAGGTACGGACGCCGATAGAGGCGCGCGTCGTGTTGATACGGGACACACACGGACTGTTTGCTCGGGTACCATCGCGGACCCTTTTTTTCATGTAGGCCCCGACTCGAGTCACAACACTAGTAAAGTTACAAAAGCCGAAGGCAAACAGATCCGGGGACGGGCTTTAACCGGTTTATTAAACACTCGTGTGCTCCGGAGGTGGTCCCCATCGTTGCTGAAAGTGGCGACGACGCGGTCAGCGGATGAGGACGACGACGACGTCGATGTCGCCTGGCCATCTTCTAGAGCTCAAGCGTGTATCGCGTCGTGCGTTTTCGCTCCGGTATACCTTGCCACCTTGCCACCTTGCCAAGAGGTCCAGGAGAGGAGTTCACTACTCTTGCGCGTACGCAAGACGAAAGCGATCTCTCCTGGAGGTGGGAAAGGACGGACGGGAAGGAGGAGTTAAACAACACTCAGGCAAACCTTCTTTTCTTTTGTCAAGTCGAGCCGAGCCGCGGGGAAGCGACTTTAGATTCTAACAACCGCGTAATTTCCATTTTGGCCCGGTCATAGTCATTATGAGGTATTAATTTCGTCGACGGCACACCTTTTCTCTCGTTATTTCAATCGCTAATAACTTAAAACTTAATCGTTGATGTAGTTTTCGATTGTCATTGAAACAATTGTCATTTATCAGAAATTTCAACACGTAACGTTGATCGTCGAATCTTAAAATATATAACAAAATATCTTTTGCGGCACCCTATACAGCACAAAGTTCTGACGAGATGCATCGTGGAATTTTTGTACGTCCCTTAGTGTCACCGAGTGACTTACGTCCTACGACAGAAATAAAAGAAAAGTAAGAGCCCAAGAGCGACTTGGACGCGTCCTGGGTTGTGGTTTTGGGTTCAGCAGGGTTCACTGGACATATTATGAGACAGACGAGCACTCCAGCGTGAAATGAAAATATTATGCCAACGCTCAGACTGCCGTACCACGCATGACATATCGAAGAATTACTATATGCATATAAAAGTCGAAGATTCATATTTCGTAATGGAATAATTTCTGCTGCCGCGGATCGGTTTTTATGAAAAGATTACACTGACTTCCAGTTAATCAACGTCCGCTATTAAGATTCGATCTAAGATAAAGATCAGACAATAGAGTAATATTTCTCCCTATAACATTAGATGCTGACCTAATGCTATGATTTATCATCTTTCTTTGTTTCCCATTACGATTAAATGGGAGGCTGATCATGTCGACTAAAATTTTTAAAGTTCTCATCAACTAGAAGAATTAAATTCTATATAAAAAAAATAGCTGAATTGTTGTTCAGTATGTTCTTTCTAATTCTAAATTTCGATATTCGGTTTTTTAAACTAAGTAAAACTATAATTGATAATAATGTGATACAGTTTCTCCGAATATTAACCGCAATATCTTCGTCATCACTTTAAATCCTTACGTCTAAGCAATATTCTTCCTCATTAATACATTTTTAATTAAGATAATATCATGTTTTGACGCAACTTTCTTACATCTTCACCCATACACATATTTAATACTTCTTTTTTACAACACTGATGGGTACTAACCAGGTTGCATTTACTTATGACGAGATATCAATACGTATACATGGGCGATGAAGTATCGAGCGATCTGAGCATGCCCCGATGCTTCGGGGCAACTTTTTGTGTAATTTGTTAATCATGCTTACAACCGACGGAGTAACGCGAACGTGCGTCGGCAAGGAGGCAGAGAGAAAAAGGAAACCGGAGAGAGAGATAGTTTGCGAGTAAATCCAAGCACGAGATATAAATTCAGTTTTATACATTCGCGTATACTTTTCTGACGGGTTCTCTTGTCCGACTACTGGATACCGGCCTACCGATCCGATCTCACTCCCAGATTCCGGTACGGTATGCGATTTATGTGAAATCGCAGTTCTGGAACAAGGGCGACTTCGTGACATTTCATGATTTACCGATTCGATAAAGTCGATCGCGTGCGGAAGTTTTACAAATATCGCGGTAACACTTTCGCGCGGTGGTTGCTTGCGCCAATTTATGCAACGCTGCGGAAAGCAAGAAAGCGCTTTTTTTTTCGAGAAAAAAAACTCATACTTGTATGTTTTGCGTGATAAAAAAGGAAAATTAACCAGCGATTATATTGTTATTCGAACAGGAAAATAATATATAATAATGCCAGTTATACCGATAAATAATGCACACATTAACCGTAGTTTTAAGTTTTAACACGACGACAGGCGTGAAGTAGGGATACCACGCGCCAACATTATATATAGTACAACTACTTATGCGCAAGGAATAAATGCATAACGTGTCGTCG